GCTTCCAGACTAAGACAGACTAGAAAGAAAGGCCTGGCGATCGACTTCCAGGTAATCAGCCAGTGAACACTCTATGGATCACAATGGTCTGATCTTGTTGTGCATGAGGTCACCATGAGTCGGGGCCCACTCGAGGGCTTCTAACAACAAGTTAACAGATGTGTCTAAAACGTAAACATCAGATAATATTATATAAGGTTGGTTGTTTACAGATACAGTGATGAATTTGAAAGGAATCAGCTGAAGGCTTTGAGAGTGAGACATGGAGCTGGGTGGTGGGATGCTGTTGCATTTTCTAACAAGCCTTGTAGAACTCTGCATCTGTGAACTGTTTGCATATGCAACTTCGACAGTTTAAATAACGATTTAAATGGAAGAAGTTATTTAGAAAAGTACAAGATTGTGCAAAGGAAGGCATGTGTCTTCTTTCTTCCCAGAAGTGCGCTGAGCTGTGGCAGCGTGCCAGGCCTGGGTTACCATCACTGGGTGTTGCTGTGGTCTTTCTGCCCAGTAAAGGCTCCGCGTCTGTGTGTGTCTTAGTAGGGCTGCCATGACAGAAGAAACCACAAGTGGGCAGCTTTCAAGAACAGAAATTTACTTTCTTGAAGTTCTGGAGGCTAACAGTCCAAATCAGGGTCTCAGCTGTGTTGGTTCCTTCTGTGGCCTCTCTCTGGGTTTCTGGGGTCTGCTGGCAGTCCTTGGCATCCCTTTGCTAGTGAAGAAGTCCTCACGTGACATCTGTTTTCCCCCCATGAGTGTCTCTGTGTCTTTCCTGGTCTTTTTTATAACTCCGAAGTGATTAGCTTTAGGACTTACCCTAACTCTAGTATGGCTTCATTAACATTACCAAAGAAAAACTATTTCCAAACACGATTACATCCACCAGTACCAAAGAAACAAAACCAACCCCATTGCCGCCTGGTTGATTCCCACGCATGACAACCCCGTGTGTTACAGAGTAGAACGGCTCCATGGGGTTTTCTTGGCTGTAATCTTTATGGGAGCAGGTCACCAGGCCTTTTTTCTGCAGCACTGCTCGGTAGGTTCAACCTTTAGGTTTAGGTTTGTAACCAAGTGCAAACTGTTCACACCACCCTAGGACCTTCCTCCACAGGTATAGGAGTTAGGATTTCAGCACATATTTTGGGGGACACAGTTCAACCCATAACAATATGTAAGGATGATGCGTGGAAAGACATGTTACTCTTTCTTACAATTAACTGGATCTGGGATTTGTGAACAGTTTCTACCCCAAGGCTGTCATCTCCATGAGCCTCAGTACTTGGCTCAGGCCACCTTTGAAGCCTGTAAATGTGGCAAGTGATCAAGGTACCCACTGCCTCCTGGTGGCAGAGTGCCAGAATTGCAGGTTGAGGTTTTTCGAGGGGCACCAAAGCCCCATGAAAGTTCAGGATGCCAACCCGGGCATATGAGGAAACAGCAAGCACTTCACCTACTCAGGCTCTGCCCTTTCTGTCACCACATGAGCGATTCGGAGCATCTGTTTTAAGGACTGCAGGTCGTTCGAAAGTTCCATTGCAGGTTAAAGTTTGGGCTGTTCTAAAGCATTGCTCTGCGTTGTCTCTGTCCCCGCTGCACTAGGAAGGACAATGTAACTGTTTCCCATGCTGCCTCCTGTCCAATGCATAGCCAGAGCTCTTCTTCTGGTAGTAACACATCTACACGCATCACAGAACATGCCAGTTGACATCACTGCCCTAGCTGTGAAAGTGCTCACCTGCACACCTGGAATTTCTCCAGAAAGCACAAAGCCGCCGCACAGCCTGCAGCGCTGACCTTGGTATCTGTCTTGCTTTCTGGAAGAGATCCATCCAAAACTTGTGTGCTTTGCAAAGTAGGACAAGAATTCAAAAGCAGTGTGGTTGAGGGGAGGATGAAGGGGAAAGAATGAAGAGCAAAGGGACCCCGTGGTCCAAGCGGACTCTAGGGCAGGGCTAGTGCTGAGCAGCAGGGACAGGGCCTGCTTGAGAAGCCCACCTTCTGTCCAGGAAAGGCGATCGCTTCGTCACCATGGGGCAGGGATGGCCAGTCTGCTCCCACGGACAGGGAGGGGAGGCAGCTGGGAATGCTGGGACCAAGCTTTGTACGCCCAGGCCCAGGGATGGGCTCCGAGTAACCCTGACTCTGGGACCTGCGTGACATGATGCCCAAGGCAGAGATGGTCTCCCTGCAGCTGGGGGAGGTGGTGACCTGCAGCCCACCCTGAAAGCACCCCTCTTCCTGCAGAGGGGCTCCCCCAGCCCTGGGACAGAAGAGAGAGGGAGGAGGGGGGCAGAATCAGCACCTGGAGACAGAAATGGGGCCTGGGGAGATGGCGTCTCTTCCTCCTCCCCCCTCCTCCTCCCC